CCAGTCTCCGCCGTTTCTATCCTGTTTCTATCCCTAATACCAAGCCTATGCCTTTTGTATTGTTCAAACAACTCTCATTACCTTAATAAAACACAGTTTTGACACTTTCTCCATCATACATCATATTTTGGCTACACATCTAATCTCATTTACAGAGCAAAAACTAATTACGATATGGGTCACTCGGATATTATTATTTTATTTATCACTTGCTAGATATAAGAAATCGCCTTAAGTCCCGATTGTTAATTTCAATCGCCATTATTCGTGTTAATTTTGTTATGAATTACGATTAACTTGACTAAACTACTTGCAATTATGAAGCAGATAGATTTTACTTATTTTATTGTTAACTTTCTCCAAAAGGACAGTTAATATTTTTCTGGATATTACTACCTATTATTAATACATCTTTTCTCGCTAGAAACTGCTATATTTCCCAACTTAGCAAATATCATAATACAATTATTTTTTATGTATCCCTTAAAGCTAATCCTATTTTATGAAGAAAATAATGTTATACTATAACCCTAATCCCCCTTTTTAATAGAATCGTGGCTTTTCTGTGCGTCAGTCCTCCACCAATCCATTGATCACCATTCGCACTGCTGACGAATTGGAAGATGGCCATTTGACTGCAGACGATGAAGAGGATGAAGGTGAGGACGTCGATGACATTGACCTCATTGCCGATGATCTTGGCTTCGGGCCCTCAGGCAACCTTGTTCTTGGTGCCGGGCCAATGGCTGAGGCTGCACCTATTTCTCGACGTAAGCAAAATCTAGCTTCCTTGGCCAGGCGTCCTCAAGTAGCCAGTGTACACCATCAGTTTCCTGCTACTTCTATCAGCGTTACTGCTTGCTCTGCCGTTGGAGGTGATTGCAAAGAAAATTCTTGTTCGAGCAGCCATCTGGGATTTGATAAAAAGGGTCTCCTTGTCGAAACAGGCAAAGCAGTGGGATCACAAATTCACTATTTTGGGGATAATACTGGAGTCCCTCACCAACGAAAATCCTGGAACTCAGTGAGCATCATTTGTTCACTTGTTAATTTAAAGTAAATTAGGAGGAAAACTTAGTCTCGTCCTTGTTTTATTTATATTATATGAGATATTCGTCTACTTTTTTTATAGCGAATAAGCTTGAATTTTTCGCTAACAATTTTTAATCTAACTTCACCAGTATATCGTCTTCGCCTTTTCGATAAACTCGATTAGCTTTATTTAAGCTTTGTCTTTATATTATCTCCAGAATATTCTATTCGATATAGAAGCCATAATCTTTCCTCTTGCCCAAGCTAATAGGTGTAACTATATATATTTTTTTATTTGCTTGTTTAAAGTCCTCTTTATCCCTAGTTTTTCTTGAATACTTATTTCCATTTATTTTAATTTGATAAACTTTATTCAGAAGTCAAGTAATACTGTTAGTCGACCACTTATATCTTCTCAAGGCCCTACGGAACTTTTTGATCAGACTTGTCGCAAACAACCGCAACAGCATATTTCTTGCGGATTTCGTGGTGGAAAGAAAGATAGTGCCGAGGATACCGACAGTGCTTCTGACGAGTCTTTTGAAATTGTTGAGGTACCTTAGTTTCTTGCTTGTCTATTTGGTAACACAATACTTGTTCTAATTCCTCCTCTTTTTCTGGCAGACTGTCGATATTCCTTACTGCTGGCCCGAAAATCTTATCAACGAGCACAATTATTTCCACATCCCAGCAGTAGGAAGTGTGATCAAGTATCGTATAAGCACGAAGTCGTCACATCCTATTAATAAACATCAAAAAGGGCACTCCAAGGCACCTGAAGATGAATCTCAAGCTGGTGACTTTAAACCACAGTCACAACACACCTCTACTTCTGTAATGGCCGGGACATTGAAGCGCGCCTTCTCATCTGGAGCGAATTCTAGTGAATTCGCAGGTTCTTCTATTCAAGATACTTCTGCTCCTGCTAAAAAGACAAAAATTTCCTCATCCTCCTGTCTTCCCGCATCTTCAGATTCTCCTAGCACTAAGATTCCTGTAGATTCATCTGTACCAGGTGCATATTTTTTCTCATACTGTAACATTCTTAATAAACTTATATGTTTTGCAAGTTTAAACAGATTTTTGGAGCCCTTAATTTATTAAAGTTAATTTGAATTGATGTTTTTTTTACTTAGCAAGCCTTTTAAGCATATAACCGAAGACGAGTAAAGCCTTCTCAAATAGTCCTGATCTATTCATGTCCTACATACCTAATATCTCAATATCCTCTTCGATACAATTTATTTTTGGCCTTGAACCTTCTCATTTTGCCTATTTTGATCTGCATCGCCTTAACTTTTTCGACCAACGATTATTGATATATTCAAGACATGCAATTAACACATACAAATTGTGTTAAAATAGATATAAAGTAATGAATTTAATTTGTTAATTGTTAAAATACGATTATT